GCGGGAATTCGTTTCCACAAATAGACGGTGACACTGAGCGGCTAATGTCCAGCAAAAGCAGAAAGGGCATGTGATTCATTTATCATACGTCGATCTGCAGTACTGCTGCTTTCGAGGACAACAAAGAGGAGATGACTGATTCTCAGCCAGTGCGAATCCTTGAATCGCTGCACGATGGCTGATTAATGAAATACCTTCCAACGCTTTAAAGTGACCAATCTGGAGGCTTCGGTTAAGAAATGCAATGCAGCCAAGGAAGAAAAAACTTTGTCGCAGAAGGGACGTCGAAAGCACGTAATAGCATATACGAAAAACCGGCATCGAAGGAAGGAATGAAAAAAATTATCTGCCGTACAGCAACGACCAGAGCAAGAAGAATAAGAAACATCGGTAATACATAAAACATGGAAGCGGATGAATGCTGATCGAAGAGAAAAATATTCAAAACCGATAGCGGATATTCGAAACGCTATTAAAGGAAGAATATCTTAGAACAGCCCACGAAATCAGAGATTAATCGAATATCTCACCCGATAAAACAGAGGAACCCAGGAGCCGAATGAATACTGAAAAAAACTTGATGAAAAAAGAGACGACCGTTGCAGAATCACGTAAGCCACTGGGGCGGAAACACGGAGTTCCGTTCTGTTCGGTGCTTAATAAAATTAAGAAATGTGAAAGCATGCTACAGTCACGGAACAGCATTTTATTTAATGCCACTATACAAAAGCAGCTGACAATTACCGGCTCGTGAAACCTGTCAAGTGACACCATGAAACTGTTGAAAAGGTGCTGGACAAGAGGTTCAAAAAAGAGGTTGATATCACCGCAAATCACTTTTTGCTTTATGCCAGGCCGGCGAACAACCAATGGATTAAGATCCGTACTAACACAACGGCAAAAAACTTTTCATGTAATACGAAGGCAGATAATATGAAATATACGAAAAAAACTGTACCAAAAAATCATATTAGACTTATTCAAAGTACAAGCTATGGAATGATAGTGATAATTCGATGTACATGCGGCGAAACAGAATTTCTTGTGTGGGTATTAGCACTTAGTCAAAATTTCCTTTCTCGATGATGACCGAAGCGCTAATTAAGCATGGGCAGGAATTCTGTCCCATTTTTCATGCTCTATGTAAAGATGCAATGTTAAGCAATGAAAGCAAAGAAGTAGAAACCAAATCGATGTGTGCAGAGCAGTCTATGAGAAAAAGCAACTTTCGGTTCAGCAAAAGAAAGTCGCAAAACATAACGGGCTGTTTCAACCGAAATAACTAAAGCGATCACTAACGAATCCGTGAATGTTGCGGACAATCAGCTGCCCACACTTCGAAATTCCAGTATCTTAGTTTCATCATACGAGACAATGAGGAAATCTAAATCCAAGTGTGAAATTTGTCAAAAAGCGTTACTGAACTAGACAGACAGATAACGGTATACTGCCTGATGCCACCAAAAATACAAGGAACGGTCTACAGAACAATAGTAAGATATGTACATTTGTGCCAAACGGAATGTTAGGACTTCAGAAGTGAAATGCGCAAAAGCTGAAATCTGTAAAGATGTGAACGATCAGATGGATGTGTGGTGCGAGCAGAAACGACCACATCTGGAATATCATGATAAGGGAAATATTGCGTTTACATCCAATTACAGAAAAACCTACCAAAAAATTGTCTCGTTGGTTCGGACACTTAAAACAAGGCCTGACAAGTACACAGGAAACGCAGCAATATCCTTAAGAATAATACCATAATGTGAGAGAAGCGATCGAATGATGATGAATACAAATTGATCAGGTTTATGTCAAAAGGAATGGGCTAGGAGAAAAAACAAACATTCAAGGGATACCTTATGAGCTGTGATTTTGAAGAAACCCGCAGTATACCGGAGCAATCGACAGGAGCTCTTCTTGCCCCGATTCAGACTTGATACTAGCGAGCGCTTTCCGCCTATAGCTGACATATAATGGTGCTCTCCCTCGAAAAGCATAAATTCGCTTGTTTCACGCAACAGCACTGTTGCAGAAAGGTAGCAATCCTGCTGGCGTATTATTCGATATCCTTTGTGCAATGAACCTGAAGCTTAAACTGAAACGATGCTTCGCCCAACTCAAGCCGCCAGCATTCATCGACGGGCTAAAGAAAAGTGTAACAATTGGAATATCGGTCTTCTTAACAGTTTCATGATGGTGCCATTCTGTGCCCTTCGTTTCATTATGTAGATGGTGCGCTGCAGATCCAATTTCTATTCTATTAGTCAGGTATGCCTGAGTTGTAAAGGCAAAGTCTACAACTACGTATCAAGCGTAGCGTGAACCCTCCTGTTTCTTTCCTAGGGTGGCAATCGTCTGTCAAACTCGGAAGTAAGAAAAACGAGTAACCATATCGGTTCTGAGTTCGACGTTCCACTGACTATATCATCCCAGGGCTGAAACAGTGTGCGGTGAATTCCTGTCTTAAAGTAAATCGTGAATAAAACGATGACTGCTCTCGAGTAGGAACCGAACCTGGCACCTCCGGAGTTCGAAGAAGGCCTCTTAAGCACCGTGCCGCCATGCCAATTGATCGATGAAATTTTTGTAGAAGCTTCACGGAAGAAAACGCGTATTATTCATAGGACCGTCTCTATCCAAATGAGGACCGAAATCGGATGAGATTCTAAGTCGTGAAGTTAGAGCAAACGCGACATCCGGCAGCTGGGCTGAGTAAACAACGCAAGAATGATTCAGTCACTGCCTCAAATGACGCTTGCAAAAGAGGCAAACCGCAACCGTTGTTGCATCAGTGGGTGGATAATGGTCATCAGCTGGTGACGACCAGTGACTGACTTCGCGACAGGAACGGAATAAACGATGGTCGGTGATGACACGAAAAGATCTGTCCGACCGTCGCCATAGCCGACGCCGCCCCACGTTTGCGCATGTCTCGCGCCTGTTGCTAAAATTAATCAAATGTTCAAAAATAAACAAATCAATCAAGGCCGGTCGGCTCGTCATCTTCAAGTTCTCACGACTTGGAAAACTCCTGCGATTTTCTCATCATTTTGGCGGCGCGGCCGGCCGCAAAGCGCGCGCGAAAAACCGAAAGCGCACAAACGAAACGAGTCAAATCGAGTCGGGTCAAGTCGGGCGACAATATAATCGACATTCGAGACGACTGCAACGAGAGTTCCGAAGAAAGTCGTCAGCGACACAGAGGTGAGGTGAATATCGCTGAAGAGCTGCATGGCCAGAAATCAGCCGCAGCGAGGTGAAGGCGGCGAAACGAGTCAGAAAGCGCGGCAAGCAACAATAACACAAAAAGAGGATGGTCGTTCTTTGCAAAAACTGTTTAATTATGTAATTAAATAGAAATAGGCGGGAAAACTGAACAGTGAACCTCAAGAAATGCCAAACCTGTGCTTGCCGATAAGCAAGCAACATTTCAAGCAGAGTGACGGGTATCGATGCTATCCTTGAAGTGACCTACTCACACAGGATAAAGGCAACCGCGTTTTTACATGACTGATGTTTGAAACAAGTTTCGGTGTGTCAGGAAAACGGAGTTAAAACCCAGAATGGAAACATGAATGGGACGACAAACAATCGTTAAGATCACCGTTGCGCCTGCTGACCAAAAGGTCCGACCGAAAGATCAGCCACCTACTTCCGC